CCCTCATGAAGGGGATTAGTGCCCTCATGAAAGAGGCCACGGAGAGCTCCCTTGCCCCCCCTGCCAGTTGAGGACACAGCAAAAAAAATGGCAGTCTCTGATCTGAGAAACAGGTCTTCCCCAGACACCGAATCTGCCTGCACCTTGATCTTGCATTTCCAAGTCTCTGAGAACTGTGAGAAATCGTGTTTATAAGCCATCCAGTCTAGGGTATTGTGTTATAGCAGCCCAAAAGGACTAAGACAGTCAACCTTTCCTTTCAGACATTGGTTACTTTTTGGCCAGAAGCAATGGAACAGCATGAAAGTATCTGCAGTGTTTAGGTAAATACCTGGGCTCATGTCCTGGACCTACACTAACCAGTATGCAGTGGTACGTGGGTCTTACAATCTCTGGACTTCCGTTTCTCCCACTTCTAGAATGGAGGTAACTGAGTTCCCCAGACAGAATTGTTGGAGAGCTCACATGGGAAAATGCCCACGAATCTCCTTGATGAAGGAGGTACACTGATGTTAATTACAGTACTGCTCTCAGAGATCACAGGGGGCTGGCCACCAGATCCCAGAGGGTCATTAAAATCCAACTGTAGGCACCAGCAAAATCCCACTGCTTACATCAAAACGTCACAGTGTGGCATTTAACTATTCAGTTTTGAACCTCAGACATGTACTTCAGTCAAACTGAGAAGGACTGGAAGATTCTTGCGTAATCTATACATGCGTCAAAGTAGCTAAGCTTTTCTCGATTCTTCCTTAAGGAATAGGGTGAGTGTTACGCCACCCCCGTGATCATGTTTCCTCCTGACATCACGTGAAATCAGCACTTCTTCTTCCGTGCAGAGCTCCTGATTCATAAAGAATAAGTACATTACCCCAGAGGAGATGACAGTAAACCTATAACATCCTCCCCCTTATGTATGCCCGAGGCAGGCTACATGAGCTGCCTACTTCTTTTTTTTTTAAGTCTATTTCACTCTGGAGCTCTGACTCCCTTCAGAGCCCTTCCAGAGAGGTCTGGGGTCCCCAGAGAGTGTCTCCTGCTGGCCTCTATGGAGAACTTGTTTCTTGAGCCTCCTACAAATAGACCCACCCTGTAACCCTCTGGTCTCCGAGAGACCCTTAAACCCTAGGGTACATATAGTATCTACCATTCACCAAGCTAGGACCTATCTACACGTGGTCCCCACGGGAGATAGCACAGCACAAAGAGCCAAGCTTTTGGGATCAGACAGACGCAGAATCAAACCCAGGCACAGGCACCTACTAACTCTGTGACACTGAGTAAGTTGCTTGACCTTTCTGAGCCTCGCATCCCATGTAAATAATAGTATCTATTCGGAACCCAAAAGATTTTTATATTATTTCTGAAATACTTACACACAATTTACCAAGTGATTACCAAGTATCAACATAGTTAATTCTAACAAGCCTTTCATGTAGGTCCTATGATTATCCTCATTTTATAGATGAGGCCATTCCGCATAGAGAGGTTTAGGTACAGTCACTTGCTCAGGGTCACACAGCTAATCAGTGGCAGAGGTAAGATTTGAACGCAGGCATCTGGCTACTGAATTCTTGTTCTTAACCACCATCCCAACCAACTTCTCAGAGCCAAACAAGGAAGTATCTTTCATACTTTTGTTATGATGGAAATTTTCAAACACAAAAGTAGTGAGAATCCCTTGTACCCAGCACTCAGCTTAAACAAGTATCAACATCCCACTGTTGTAAACAAAGAGGTTTTTAATTTGTATTTTCCTTAAGTTGCAATAAAAAATATTTGTGTTGTTCTTTTTGATCTTGCTTAAGTCACTGGCTAAATTTAGGTAATTTCCTTTGGTTTCCTTGCACAATCATAAAAACAAGACGGCGGGTTCTTATTTTTGTCCAGTGCTTTTACAATGACATTTGGATGTCACTTGGTACAGTTTCATCAGTACATTGACTCCGTTATTCCATTGAATTTTTCAGGGAACTTTTTAGACAAGCGGTCAGACTGCTGTGATCCCCATTTTACAAAAGGGTCCAATGAAGCCCAGAGAGCTTAAGGAATTGAGCCACCTCACATTCCTAGTAAGGGGAGGAGGATATCGAAAAACAAGTTGATTTTTAACGTTTTCAATTGACGTATTCTCTGGACATTAACATAGAGCAGAAAAGTAGCGGTCTCTGGAATTTGATAGGTGTCAGCCACTCTTCTCACGTACGATCTCACACAGACAACTCTCTGAGTCTTCCACTCCTCGTCATTAAAATGGACAAGTAATACTCACATCACAGGTTTATTGCAATGATTATACTTTTAATTATTATATTATGTTAAATATTAATTATAAATATATAATGTGTGTAACCTAATATATATGCATATAATCAACATATATGCATGTGTAAGAGTGTGTGCATGTGTGTGTATCACGCATACCATGACAATACCACCGCACATGCTCATTAAAGTCACTTCCTTTTCTCCCTTCGAGATGAGGTCAGTCTGAAGAAAATCTCCCCAAACCTTTTCAGCATTAAGATATTGACCACAGTCCGTGTACGCTTTCATTCTTCCCCAAATTTTTTACTTCTCTGGGGCTCAGTCGCCCCATTGCACTGAGGATGTCCCAGTAGTTTTATCAATGACATTCTTTACCTCTTTGGAAAATCTGAGCCAAATCTCCATGATTTCATTTGAATCTTGTTTCCTCTTGAAAGCCACTTAGAGATTTATATGCTTTCACAAAAAGAATCATTTGTCTCTGATCACTAAATAAAAGAACACACCACAAAATTTGCTCCCCGCCCCCCAGGAGGCCTTTTCTAAGTCAAGTAAACACACCCATGGCTTTGCATTTTCCTTCCATGTTTATCAATAGAGTTTATTAGGATCATCATAGATGATTCATTTCTAGTTCAAGTCTCTTAGACTTTAACAGCGAAGGAACATTTTGTCTTTGGTGACTGGAAACGTCATCTCCTCTGTTTCTGTCCTCATGTTTGCACTTAAGCTACTCTCTTAAATCAGTAAAATCATCAAGTGACTTTAAAAAAAGAAATTCAAGAAAAACAGCTCTTTTTCCCTGCTCCGTTCCATGAGGAAAGTTCCCTACTTTGGAATGGATGGCACAGGGTCCGGGCAGGTTGGCACTCAATATATTGTTGAATGAATGACATCAGCTGAGCATTAATGAAGTCTATGAATTACTACTTTTTCAAGAAATCTGTTACAATTCTTTTCCGTACATATGTGAGCTCATAGTTGTTTTCAAGTAGTAATCATTTGGAAACTTGTTTAGTGACTAGGGAGTAATAATGTTTAATGGACATATTGATCATCTTATGCAAATAGATATTTTTAAGTAGAAGAAAAAATGTACTATTTTAGTGTGAATCTCTCTGTGTCTCTCACACACATTCTAGAACACACCTGGAGCTCAGGTGAGTTTACCTGGGAGAAAAATAAAGTCATCAGAGTTGAGACTCTTGGTAGGACGATTACAGAAATAGAATATATAACTCCCAAAAGTGCAGATGGAGGGAGTAAGTAGATGAAAGAAGACATAGCTCACTGAAAAAGTCAGGAATAAGGGTGGGAGGGCAAAGAAAAGGTGTAATAATTAGTGTTATGCCCAGAATTCAAGATCCCCAAGAAACCATGCCAGGGAGTCAGTCCGATGCAAAAGCAGAAGGTCCTTTATTGAGTTAGCTAACCCGACCCGGGCCTCCAGTCGACGCAGCGACCGGAAACCGAGTGAGACCCGTGTGAAAATCAGGGCTTTAATAGTGAGGGGAGGGGAGCTGGCTGTGGCCCTGCCGATTGGCCAGGCGCAAGTCGGGTCTTGTTACACAGGATGTGGTCATCTCTATGGCGCGCACATCCCTTGCTTGTCATTGGTTAGTTCAAAGAAATCCTGGGCGTGGCCAGCAGGGGCCTGGGCTCGGGAAGAAGGCACTTTTCTGAGCACATGGCCTCTGCCCCAACATGGAGGATCCAGGGTAAGATGGAGGGCGTAGCCCTCGCCCTTTCAATTAGAAAAAGTAATATGCCAGACATTGGTACAAGTAGATCTTAGAATAAAGATACATAGTTTATACTAGAAAAATACTGATCAAAATAAAGATGTTCTAATCATGTAAGTATCAAATAGAATAGACTTTAAAAGAAAAAATTATTATTTAGGAACAAGGAAGGCTATCACATACTATATCAGAAAAGCATAAGCAACTAAAGACAACAAATATCAGCAAGATAGCCTTAAAATATTAGGTTGAGCCATATAAAATTGTCAATATTTGACTGACCTCCAAAAGCAGTAATTTCATATGAAGTGAAAGTCAATAGAATTATGAAAAATTAAATTTCGTAAAGTGTTACTTTAACATGCATCTGTTACAAACTGGTTGATCAAGTGACCAAATAATTAATAATGAGCAATATTTGAGCAACATGATTAAGACGCTTTATAAAATCCACATATCTAGAATTTTATCTCAACTCTTAAATAATCTGCATTCTTTTCAAGAAACATTTCAAAACTTGAACACATACTAGGCCATAAAGGATATCTCAGTAAATATCAAAGTAGTGACAAAACATATGGACTATATTCTTTGACCCTCAATACAATAAAATGAGAACTCAATACCCTCCTCCCAAAATACTTTTTGTATATTTGGAAACTAAAAGTGGTCCTAAATCATTCATAAGTCATGATAGAAATTAGAAATGATGCCAACCTGGTTTATCATGATCTGATTTCCCCATATTATTCAGTCAGTGTAATTTAACATCTGGTAATGCCAGGCAAACTAATATTGCGGACTTCAGGAACAAAACAAAAAAACCTGAGTTTTCAGTGGGGAAAAAAAAACTATACAGTGGGGCCTTGACTTAGAAGTTTAATTCGTTCCGTGACGGAGCTCGTAACTCAAATTACTTGTATGTCAAATCAAGAAGTGAACGAGTGAGACACGTGATGCTGGGCTGATGTTGTGGTGTTCACTGTGACGTTCGCTGCGCCAACTAGCGGTGGGGTATCTGAAGCTGGCTCGTAACCTGAATTTTAGCTTGCAACTCAAAGCAAAAAATCGGCCGAGAGACAGCTCGTATCTCGAAAAACTCGTTGGTCGGGGCACTCGTAAGTCATGGCCCCACTGTAAAGTCTTATTTTACCTATTTGCCCATAAACTTTGTGTCTGGATTTTATTCAGTAGCCTCTCCATTTTCTTCCCCAGGGCTCATCTCAGAAGTGCCCCCTCTTTCTTCACCGTTGGAAAGCCCACGGCACATTACCACCTGTGTGGAGTGCTTCTCATGCGGCCCCAAGGCCCGCACCATCCAAGGCGCTTCTGAAAACACCTGCACACTGGGGGCTACTGAGGGAACCGCCCTGGGGTATGTGGGGAGACGACAGAATGGCCCCTCACAATACCAGCTGCTTTCATTTCCCACGGTAGGTCTCGCAGTCCATAATATCACACCTAAGTTAACCCTGGCAGGTGGTCTTGTTGCACTAGGGCATCTCGCTGCTCATGGCTGTGGGTGGGTGTGACCCTGTCTCTTTAGAGTTCCAGGTAAATGGATCAAGCACCTGCTGAGAACAGCATCTACTTCCCAGTCAAGAGCAATACACGTCTGAGCAGGGGAATGTGTTTTCCTTCACTGCTCACTTCCCAGTCCAGGTAAAACACTTTCTCACAATGCCACGGGCATTCGAACCCAGGGGGCACGGTGGAGGAATATGCAGAGGTGAGCCAAGCTAAAATCCCTTCTTGAGGACTTCAGTGAGAAAGACCTAGGGATTCCATCTGCAACATTCTTCCAAGAATATCACAATGTCAATGTTCCAAAGAAGTCTAGAGCCCCCCGGATCGGGGTCTCGGATACCAGAGAAAGGATGGAGAGGCAGGCCCACGAGTCCTGGGGTTTTGTATAAGGGTCAAGGCTAAGAAGTAGGAAACAAAGTGAAATCCTGTCAGCACTGTTGAATCGGAACAGCATCCAAGAATGTCCCATTTCACGCATTGGAAGGTCTCCCAAGTAAGCAAAACCTTGAAGCGATATGACAATGTCAGGTAATCAGCTTGTCTCTCGTTTCCTCTCTGTGACCCGGGACACACTCTGAATGTAGTAGCGCAGTCTTTCTGAGTCAGAGGCGTGGGCCAATCTGTCAGCCAGTATTTTAATAACGTGGATAAGGAAACCATAAAAAAAAAAAAAAATAGGCGCACGTCCTTGCCGTAGGGGAGAGGGCATATGGATTTTTTTCTTTCCGTATGAATTTCCTTCCATGTCATTATATTAGAAATAATGTAATGGGTAAAAGTAATCATTGTATTAGATGAAATTCATCCACCACCCCAAATCTGACCCTGTGGTTCAAAGGGAAAAGTCCAGCGTAGAGTCAGCCTTGTGAGGAAGTCAAGGAGAGGCATCAACCTTGACATTGACCACTCAGAGAGGTTGAGAAAAGCAAAACTCCCTTCTCAGTATTCTCTTGTTCTGGAGCCCCCTGGCCCCCTCCTGTCAGAGAAAAAGAAAAATCACCCGTTCAGGGTAGCTTACTCTGCTTCTTGTTGGAAACACTTCACTTTGAGATGAACTCAGCCTCATTCGGGTAAAGACCCCGTCAACTCAAAGGCTGTTTCTCCCCTCTCTCAAGGGTCACTGGTCCCCTCCGCCTTCCCAACATGGTATCTGGGTGTGGAGGAAGCTGAAATACCCTTGTGGCAGGGGGCCTTCGCTACAAGCTGGCCTTGTGCTTAAAGGTCCCGGGCTGTTGTTTACTTAGGTGTGGCTAATCTCACTGACATCCTTGAGCATCCTGCTGGCATCTCCTGGCAAATCCTAAAGTTCCTGTGACCCCTCAAATCATCGGGTCCCCGTGCTTTGAGGCCCTTGGCTTCGTTGCCCTGGCCACAGGTCTATGCCGGACACTGCTGCCTTCAACACCTTGGGGGCCTCTAACCAGAGCAGACAGGGGACTTGGGCCATGAGAAACCCTCGACTCTGGCTGTTCCGCCACCTCCAAACCTTGGGACGCACAGTGGAAGCAGAGAATGAGCCAGGATGCGCCGACTCTCCCCCAGCCTCTGGGCTTCCTGGGCCGGTTTCTGATGCCTCATCCACCCCCTGCCCCAGTTTTGCTTAAGCCTGGTGGGTGGCGGTCACTTCTCAGTGACCAAGCTGACATGCTCCACGCTGGCTCTACCCGGGCAGAGGTGCCCTCCCATCTCCCGTGGCAACGCTTTCGACTTCCTCTTCCGGTCTGGTAGACATCTCTCCAAGTCATTTCCTCTGCCTGCTCAGCACCAGGGTTTTGATCCTGCTTGATCTAGCCTGTCTCTCTATATGTTCAAGGAAACCTCTAGAAATGTAGAAAGCCCCCTCTCTCTTCACCAAGCCTGATTTACACCTCGCTGTGGATTCGACATGCCACCTTGAGACTGGGACCTGCATCTGAGTCACCGCTGCTGGGGGCCGCCCGGAATGGTGGGAGCCCTGTGCCACCTGACAGGCTTGGAATCCACACTGCAGAGGGAAGGTCTCCTGTTTTTAATTTAATTGTCCAATTGAACATTTTCATTCACTTTAAACAATGCGTGAGTTGAAGTTAGCACACCAGGAGCTTCCAGTTTGCAACCTTTGCTAGAAACCCCACCCCAGCACCCCAGCACCCCAGCGCCCCAGCACCCCAGCACCCCAGCACCCCAGCACCCCAGCACCCCAGCACCGTCTACCCTTGGCTGTGAAGTTTGTCCCGAGCCTTTACAGGGTTAGACCCAGAATGTGTTTCCTGTCAGACAGACAAACCATAATGTTTGTAAGTTTAGGAAGAGTGACATGATGGACTGTGCGTGGATACCAGCATGAATGAGGCAGCCAGCGAAGACCTTCACCTGTGTGGTGTCACTTCGTCTCCACAACAGCCTGCAATTTACATGTAGACCATGAAGTTACCTGGTTCAGGGCCGGCAAGTCCCGAGCCTGAAGCCACAAAATAGAAAACAGCAGCGCTAAGGCGTCGGCTCAGGCATCTCTGACTGCAACACCTCAGCTCTATCAAAAGTAGCCAACTTCCCCCTGTACAACCCTGAGGCTCTATGCGTGCAAACCAGAAACCCACCGGATACTCTGTCCTTCCACGCCAGTTACTGGTGACAACCTCGAGATAATGCAGTTTGCGTTGCAGGCAAATTCACGCACCTCCCAAATATCATGCTTCCTACAAGCACCCCGGGCACCTGTAGACCCCAAACAGGAGGAGATAAGCCAGTGATGGCGAACCTATGGCACACGTGTCGGGGGTGACACGCGAACTCATTTTTTGGTTGATTTTTCTTTGTTAAATGGCATTTAAATATATAAAATAAATGTCAAAAATATACATCTTTGTTTTGCTATGGTTACAAATATCAAAAAATTTCTATATGTGACACGGCAGCAGAGTTAAGTTAGGGTTTTTCAGAATGCTGACACGCCGAGCTCAAACGGTTCGCCATCACTGAGATAAGCAAAGTACAGAGGGGGCTGGCGAGTGCTCGGAAGAGGCAGGCTGGTAGAAATTCAACAGAATCGGCTGAGAATGAAGGGGGAGGCAGAGACTCGGCTGAGGAAATGCTAAGAGGTGTCTCCTTTCATTTCTTTTTTTCCATATCTGATTTACAGAGAAATGTCACTTTCAGAGCGGCTTTTAAAAAAATGGGTTCCACTTGCTGAAACTCACAGGACAATATTAAATCAGCAGGTGGGAGCATCCCCTAGGCATGTCTTGTGAGGCCCATGTACTTCCTCCTCTCTTTGCATCATAATTCTCGTCCTCCTTTCCAAAAGTTTCCGACATCTCTCTCAGCACACGCAGTGCTCAGACTCCCGGCACCCATATCTCATCGAGCAATTTTATTCCGATGCAGGAATAAAGTCCGGTCGGACAGGATGCTGCAAAGGAAAGAACTCATGCTTACGTATTCCCCTAGGCTCTGTCAGTCACTAGATTTATTGCCAGCCCTTAAATCATCTCTAATTCTCAGCTTGTGTCTAGCTCCATCTCATGTTCTTCCAGCTGTTTCTATCATGACTTCTACACTTAAAACAATAAATTCAAAGTGAATCTTTTCTGAACAACATAAACTGATGAACAAAAATAGAACCAGAGACATAGAAGCATCGAACAGACTGTCCAGCCGATGAGGGAAGGCAGGGGAGGAGGATGGTGGTCAGAGATCAAAGGACTTGTATGCATGCATATGAGCATAACCAATAGACACAGGCAGTAGGGGATGAGGGCATGTGTTGGGGGGTGGGAGCGGCCGGGGAGAGGTCAATGGGGGGAAAAGGAGACTCATGTAATACTTTAAACAATAAAGAATTTAAATGAAAAATAATAAATAAAAGTGAGCCTTTTCAAAAGGCTTATTGCCAAGGGACTTCTTTGTTTCTACATGGAAGCAGTGGGTGTCCCTAATTAACAAGTTCGAAATGGACTCTCATCCCCCACCTTCCCACACAGCAGCTGTTCCTCTCCCAAAGCCCCCATCACTCTGAGCAGCACCCTCCTCCACCCTCTTGTTCAGGTCAGAACACCAGCAGGTCTCTTGAGTCTTCCTTTCCCTTGTCCCCTCTAGCCAACACATCAGCAAGTCTTGTCCAGCCTACCTCCAAATCCCCCCACCCCCCCATCCCACCCTCTTCTCTCCATCTCCAATGATTCTATCCCAGGGCAGGCGACCATCACCTCTCACCTGGATGAAAGCAACCACTCCCCCGCCCCCTCCCTGCTCCTCCCTCCTCACTCTCCAGTCTGTTTTTCATAGATTAACCAGCCTAATCCTCATAAAATGCAAATCCAATCATGGCATTTCCCCCTGGCTTCCCATTGCTTTGAGAATAAAAATCTGAAATCCTGAACATTTCTTATGAGGCTGTGCCTGACCTGACTCTGATCTCTCTACAGCCTCCTCCCATGGCTCTCTCTCCTCTCCCCTCTCACCACTCTGGCTTGTTTTCTCCTTATTTATTACAAGCCCTTTCGTGTCTCAAAGCCTTTACAATTGCTGTTTCCCCTGCCTGGAATACTCATCTTCCAGATTCTATTTGAATGGTTTCTTCTTATCCTTCAGGTCTTAGCTCCTAATTCTTTTGGCCAAGAACTTTTCTGACTACCCCATCCTTGATAGATACTCACTCTGTCTCCCTTGTTTATTTCCCTTCATAAACTACAATTGCTTCACTTATATACTAACTATGTTGTTCCCACTCTAGCACCCAGCAGAGAGCCTGAGGCATCACAGAACAGAAAATGAGTGTTGAATGAGTAGAGCCCACAGACACCATCCTACAGCTCCAATAAAGCACACAGCAGAGTCCAAGCGAGGGAAATGTCACTGCCTGATTGTGAAAGCAAACAGCTAGTTAAACTTACAAAAACATGCTTTCTGTTAAAATCACAGAAGATATTTTCTAACTCATTATGCTGAGCTGGGGAGCGACACGCAAAGATAATAAACACACTTAATTTGAAACAGGTGGCAATCTGGTCAGTTCCCCACTGGTTGCTTGATTTGGGGCCCTTTGAAAGCATTCTTGTCTCTTTGACGTCTTCTGAGTATAATTTTTATGGGCCAGAATGGGCCAGAATGGGCTCCGGAGGTGGTCACCCCAGCTCCCCAGCAGTCACTTGAAGACCCTATTCATCTTGACAAGACAAAGCTTACCTGAGCAAATGAGTCCTTGGGCCCACACTCATTTGCATATCCATCTGGGTCTGGTACATGATTATTCTTAGCTACAACTTTATACACAAGCAACCCTAACCCTAATCCAATCAGCCGAAGAGTTTTGTTTTTCTAAAAAACTACCCAGCACACAGAGTGCTTAAGATGGATCTTTTGAGAAGAGCAAGTAGGGACACTGTTATTTCTAAATACTTAATTATTCTTTTCTAATTCTCACCTTTAGGATGTGGTTTTCAGATTAAGTTTCTTTGGCTTTCGGGGGGGCGGTAAATAAACCCACACTAGATGTTACAACTTGGTGTTTCTGCAGATGGGCTGACTGATGCCAAAACAAAATCATCTCCTGCTCTCTGAGCCCTTACTGTAGCAGAATATTTTTAATGAACCCCAGATGCAACCTTCATGGGTACAGAATCACCCCCTTGAGTGTCTGCTCCTGAGTCTGCTCATCACTGTAGATCTGGGCTGAGTAAACATGTCCCCCAATTCCAACTCTCCCTTCCACATGGTTAATATTTGGAATCTACTGTCTATTGTTTCCCTCTACCTTCACCTAATACCTTGTCATCCATCCATCCATTCAATATGAATTGAACCAGACACAGTCCTGCATACTAGGGATACACTGGTGAACAAGATCATGTCTATGACCTCATGGAACATAAAATCTGATAGTGGATATAGTGGATGAAGATGGACTGTTTGCACAATTGTTCATTACTAGATAGAGATACTGTATGTTAAAGGTGATAGAGCTGGTGAGAGGGCAAGTCTACATCTAAGAGTGAGAGTTGAGGGGGTATGGTGGACAGCACCGTAAAGTATCTCATAGGAGTGCGCCAGGAGGAGAGGGGTGCAGAGGAAAGTGGTACATTCCAGGTGGAAGGACAAACACAAGCCAAGTCACGGAGGCCTGAGAGCCCACAGCATGTCCTGAGCACTGGGGTGGTTCTGCTGGTGAAACAGCACTAGGGGAGGCGCGGAAGAGAGAATGGAGGAGTGAGCAAGGTCAGATCAGGAAGAACCTTCTGGGTCTCACCAAGTGGGGTGACTTGGATTTTTGAGAGCAGAGAACTGTTTAATACTTCCCCCAAATGTATAGTAAACACAATTGTTATGATGGGAAATGGGAAAAAAGGAACAGAAAACACCATTTGATCGGCAGTACATTAATCCTATCCCATAAAGACGATATACTAGTTTTTAGATATTTCCTGACCTGCAGTGTTTCATCCCTATGAGAACTGTCTTCTTTCTAATATATATGTGTATGTCTGTTTGTGTGTGCATGCATGCACACATGTGTTTAATTCTTTGGTGTTATCACTGGAAGCATTATATGTAGAACACCTGTTCTTCATGTGTCCTGCTGATTGGGAGACATTCCCACCCTTTGTCATTATGACTATCTATATATAGAAATGCTTAAGCTACCGTCTGACCGCCTGACCATCCGACCGTCTGGTAGCTATGACGTGCAATGATCACCAGAGGGCAGACGCTCAATGCACAGGCATGGAAACATGGAACAGACTGATGAATCTCAGAGGGAAGTGGGGAGGGGAGAGGGCGGGAAGAGATTAACCAAAGATCTTATTTGCATACCAGAGGCTTGGTGCACAGATTTGTACACTAGTGGGGTCCCTTGGTCTGGCCTGCAGGGATCGGGCCCAAACCGGCTCTCTGACATCCCCTGAGGGGTCCTGGATTGCAAGAGGGTGCAGGCCAGGCCAAGGGACCCCCATCAGTGCATGAATCTGTGCACCGGCCTCTAGTATGCAAATAAGCAAAAATAAGCTGAAAGCATGCATTTCTTTTCCTTCCAGATTAAATACATGTTCATTAAGCTGGGGGTCCCACTTCAGCTCCTTCCTCTTCTGACCACTGGCGGGGCCACTCCCATGGGGCTGCTGCTTCACTCAACACATCACACCTGATGGTGTGGTTTTTTCATTTTATTGTTTTATGTCTAGAGTTCCCTATGAGAGGAAGAAAGAGAACAAGAAGCATGAAGAGCCGCCTGAAGGCCTGGCCCAGCCTCATGGTCAGCTGCTGGAGAAGGGCAAGGGTGTCCACATCCCTGAGGACAAAACAGAGGACACAGGAAGTGACCAGTCTACTGAGGAAGGCTCTCCTCTCAGCAAAACAGAAGCACGAAAATATGCCAAAGGTAGGGCCAGCCCAGGGCTAGGGACCCAGTCCTGGTGCACCTGCTGGCATCTTCTGGTTTTATGAAACCGGGTCCTGGAGTAGGAGCCTCCTGGGCCGGGGGGGCAGAGCAGATGTGAGAGGAAACAATTAAAGTTGTAAACTGCAGCTCTGCAGAGCTACTGCTGTTTATGGCAACTCCTGGCTCAAAAGCTCTCATTTCCAGATTTAAGTATTATCTGGTTTTGGGCCAAAGAGAACCGCTCCCAATGAAGCCAAAGGCTGTGCCTGTCAATGAGCTGAATAGCCACATACTGGGGCCTGGGTCCCTGAGGGTCAGCCTCGTCTTTTTCATGAATCTGACTCTTGGAAGGAACAGCGAGCGCTCCACCTCCAAGGGGATGGCTTGCCTCTGGCCAAGGGCCCACAAAGCCTTACCCCATCCATTGCCTTTATTTGTGTAGAGACGGGCCCTTCCATGCTGGCCTCAGTTTCTAAGCTCAGCGAAGCACACACCTGAGCCCCGGGCGCATCCCTTGAAGGCAGGCACCAGCCACCAGCCAATGAGGTATCTCAAATAGGAGGAACAAATCGCACCCTTGCCAGTGGCTCCCAAAGCTCTCATGTACCAACCGCGGGTTAGACGTAGGGAGTAGCCTGAATTGTTTGCGCCCAGAGAGCTGGGGAAGGTGCAGAGGCAGCACATCCTTGCCTTTCCATCTGTACCTCAAAGAAATCAAACCTTCGGCAAATACATCTACGTTTCTGCGAAGTGTGCCTTGCTGATCGAGGAGGGAAAAGCCAGAAAGTGTTTCTTAGGTGAAAAGGTATCTTTAAGCCTCATTTGTTAACCAGCAGATGCAGCTCTTCTGGTCATTAGCATAGACCTATCACTCCAAGTGTTAAACGCAGTCACAAATCGCAGTTGCCAAAGGGGATACATCAATCCTCCTAATTACCTTTGGAGTCCCATTCACAGAATCAGAAAGGGTGTCTAGTTACATCGATGCCGCTCACTTTTTTGAAAATCAGTTTCAATTCCCTCACAGTCGTCTTGGTTTTAGTCACATTCAGACCAATGAGAGCTGTGACGATGTAAACCAGGTAAGACCAAGGTTGGAAAATGGGTCTTTTGCAAAGCCTGGTCTTACTCCCCAGGAAACCAGTAATTACGGAGAATTGCAGGGTAAGAAGAGATGCAGCAAAAGTAGGAGAGAGAGCGGGGGGTGGGGGGTGGGGGGGGGGGAGACCCTTTATCTTAGTGAAGCCAGTGCAAAGTCTTCGTTGCACATGGAGTTCAGAATGAGCGTCAACTTGGGGAGAAACTGCCTCCCAGCTCAGACACTTTCTGAGGCTCTGCCCATGACTGACAGCTGTTGCAGACACCCCCACACAGTTATATGGATCCCCCCTCACTCTCCCAGACTTCCCAATGTATAGTCCTCTCCACTTCTGTTTAGAAGTCAAAGCCCCCCCCACCCCCCTCCCCAGCTTAATTACCTTTGTTTCCGGAAGCAACCATTTACACAAAGGCAGCTAAGTGACAAGCTGCAGAGAGTGCGAGGACACAGAAATGGAGTCGTCTGTCCATTCCGTGACTTTGTTGAGCACCCACTCTGTGCCAGGCACTGTTCCAGGTGCTGAAAATGCCTCGGTGGATGACATTGATGAAGAAGATCAAAGAGACTCACACAGGGAATGCATTCAGGGGCCCATTCCATTCCCCAACTGGTCTCCAGCCTCAGAGAGCCATGCTGGGGGAGGGTGAACTGGAGCACCGCCCCCCCCCCCCCCACTTATGGTCTAGTCTGGGCCACATAAATACCTCGGGATGTCCATGCTGGCTCCCCGAGAGGGCAGGGCTGTGGGAGCCTGCAGCTCCGAATCCACAGTCTGCACCCAAGTGAGCTCATCTGGTTCTTATTTTCCTCCCACTTGAAAATGATTAGCATTTTCTTCCAGCTGGGGGGTTCCTACCCACTTCTGACCCCGAAAGGCTCAGGAAATTACAAAGCAAGTTTTCCAACAGATGCTTTGACCAGCGTCAGACGGTCCTAGACAGCTGCCAAGTTGCTCTCGCTACATCTTGTAAGCCTGGCACGTTACGACGTCATAGGCGGCCTGAGTGGGTGGCCTGCTTGCTTGTGGAATGCCCAGCTGCCCTAGGAGGTTGGCCCTCAGTGCTCAAGGAGACCCCTGAACCCACAGAGCTTGTGCTGGACAAGAGATCCTGGCAGGAAAAATCCATGCACATAAGATGTAAAGATTGGCAGTGGAGTGGTGTGTGTGTGTGTGTGTGTGTGTGTGTGTGTGTGTGTGTGTGTGTGAGAGAGAGAGAGAGAGAGAGAGAGAGAGAGAGAGAGAGAGAGAGAGATTTTCAGAAATATTCAAAAAGAAATGGGCTACCACAGCAATTTTTGGAATCTCTGTGCAGGGAATAGCGGGGTGACTGTATTTGAAGAACCTCCTGCCACTCCCCAACCAGAAAGCCATGTGTTGCACGAAATGTGAACCACAGCCCTTGCCTATAACCCGCTTCTGCTCCAGGGTATCTGGGGAGACTTGGGAGATTGCAGATCAAAGGGAGCGTTTGCTCCAATTTGTCGGAGGCAGGAAAACACATCGCTGAGACCAATATGGGTAACCAAGCATCCTGCCTACCCATGGTCACCGCGACTGGGTGGGTGAGCCCTGCATGACTTCCTGTTTTTGTTTCTTCTGAAAAGAACAAATGACTGAAAAAGGAAGGAGAGTTGATAGAGCAAAGGCTCAGGAAGAATGCGGTGTGGCTCTGTGCATCTCATCCCAGATCGTAGTGCCTTGGTGTTTTTGTTTTGTTTTGTCTTCCTGTTGCAAGATGGAGCTCCTCTGACTCAGAGCATCGAAGAATCACACGTTAGGAGAGATCTTAAAGACTGTAGTCTGGCCACTGCAGTCTGACACACAGCAGGTGCTAAATGATACTTGCGTTCACCAGTGGTGAAGTCACTGAGAGAAGGAAGCAGCCTGGGAGTGTATGCTGGCAGCCTGTGCAACATTCCTGCAAATGGTAGTTCAATCACGTGTAAATATCACCCGCGATGGACCACCGATTGGTGGTCCAAACCTGCCCCCCACCCCTACTGTGGATCCCTGGCCAAGTCCTTCAGCTTCTCTGTACCAGGACGCCCTCACGGGTGTGCTATTGCCATGTGTCCAGTGATCACAAACTTAGCAGCTTAAAACAACACCTGCTTTTATCTCACTTTCTGTAGGTTAGGGGTCTGGGCACAGCTTAGCTGGGTCCTCTGCTCAGGGTCTTATCCGAGGCTCAGGGTCATTGACAGGATCCGTTTACTTGCAGCAGTAGAACTGACAGTGGCTTTCTCTGCCTGAGTGGCCCAGTGGGTTGGAGCATCATCCCGTACACTGCAAGGTTGTGGGTTTGATTCCCGGTCAGGGCACATACCTAGGTTGTGGGTTCAATCCCCAGTAAGGTACATGGGGGCCGGGGGGCGGGGGAGAGAAGGACAACCGATTGATGTTTCTTTCTCACACTGATGTTTCTGTCTCTCTTTCTCTCTCCCTTCCTCTCTCTAAAATTAACAAAAACATATTCTCAGGTTAGGATTAAAAAAAAAAAAGCAAGGCCAGCAAGACTTGAGTATAACATCTCAACCCTCTTTTAAAGGGCTCACCTAATGAGGTCAGGCCCACCCAAGATAAGTTCCCTTTTTATTAATCTAAAGTCAACTGATTAGAGACCTTAATTACACTTGCAGAAATCCTTCATCTTTGCCATAATGTAACATAATCAGGAGTCATATCCATATTCATAGATTCTACCCACATTCAAGCAGAGAAGATAATACAGAAAAGGCATAATTGGGGAGGAATCTTGGGGCCACCTTAGAATGCTGCCTACCACACCCTGTCCTGGAGATACTGAGGGGACCCGTCTCATATGGTTGCTCTGAAGACTAATGAGATAGTGACTGTAACAGTACGTGACCAGCCGGCAGCAGCTGCTATAATTATTTTAGCATTTTTGAGCATCTGCTCCATGGCAGGCCCCATCGTAGGAGCTGGGGATTCGGAATATAATAACGCCAACATTGCTCTGAAGGAAATTGTGGCATTTCCCTAACACTCATGTTCCCTCGCCCCCACCCCATGCGGCATAAAGCTTTACTCCATCTAAATGATTGTTGGATACAAAGGCTCAGAGTTTTCTCGGCCTGTGAAAGCCACGGTCAGAAAGAAAAAGTGCTGACTTCAATCAAATACTGTCATCCACAGGATTATCATTTCCACCCTCAAGAGCCGCCGGCTTTGACTGCTGATTGCGCAGATGGACTGGAACTCTCGCCCGGTAGTTCTTAGCCGCGGCTGCACACATTTGAGTCACCCACAGGATTTGGGCAGCACCCATCTGCCACAGCTTGCATACCTTTGGCCTGGGGCGTGTCCTTGCATTGGAATTGTTTTTAAGCCCCTCACCCCAGGAGTTGCCAACACTCCACAGGGGATGAGAGCTGCTGCTGGGGCTGAAGCGTGAATGGTCTGGAAGCTAAATTCCCCTTAAAGCAGTGGTTCTCAACCTTCCTAACGCCGCCACCCTTTAATACAGTTCCTCATGTTGTGGTGACCCCCAATTTCATTGTGACAAATTGAACATAATTAAAGCATAGTGATGAATCACAAAAACAATATGTAATTATATATGTGTTTTCCGATGGTCTTAGGCGACCCCTGTGAAAGGATTGTTCGACCCCCAAAGGGGTCGCGACCCACAGGTTGAGAACCGCTGCCTTAAAGAGAAACTGCTGAGAACGTGACATGCCAAAGAGACATGAGCGGCAATAAAGCATTTTTTTCAGTGGCTCCCAGCAAAGATATTGAAATTTACCACACATCACACCTTTTCAAGCCACTCTGCTACTAAATATACATATATTTTATTGATTTCAGAGAGGGAGAGGGAGAGAGAGAGAAACATCAAAGATGAGAGAGAATCATTGATTGGCTGCCTCTTGCACGCCCCACACTGGGGATCAAGCCTGCAACTCGGGCATATGCCCTTGACCAGAATCGAACCCAGGACCCTTCACTCCACAGGCCGACGCTCTATCCACTGAGCCAAACCGCTAGGGCCCCTGTGGCAGACAGCTCACCTACTAGCTGGGATAGCGTTGGGAAAAGCTTAAAATGCCCACCTTGCCCAGAAAGCTGCTGGTGCCGGCTTGCTGTCTGCTTGCTCATGCAATGCGTACTCCGTCACCTACATGTATGAAGCACCCACTGTGTGCCAAGCTTCATGCCGGATGCGGGGATTCAAAGATCTGTAGGACCCAAACTCTGCCTCCCAGACCTCGGCATCCAACGCCGAAGACGCGCCCTCAGGATGGGGAGCATGGAGCTCGTTGTTAGGTTACGAACGCTCATTTTCAAACCTTCCTCAGTCTTCTCTGACCCTGTGATTTCCCTTCAGGGTTTAATCGCGTCCAGAGCGCAGCCTCTTTCCAACATCCCTTCCTGCTTCCCCCGCCAGCATCCCTCCCAAAGAAAAATTACTACCAAAGATAAGAACTGAAAAATGGCCCAAATGCTCTCATGATCTCACAATTAAAAGGAGCAACAGGAAGCAGCAGCCTCATCCTCCCCCACCCCTGTAACCTCCAGATCCTTCTCGGGTACCCAGGGGCACACCTCCTGAGCTGGGTGGACGCGGGCCCCCCCTCCTGCCGGCTGGTCCTGGAGGAGCGGTGGCCAGTGCAGCATTAAGCAGACGCGATGGACGGGAGGCTCTGGCAGAGCCCACGGAAGCTGCGTTCCTCGGGGAAGGTAGCACTGAGCCCGTGGCAGCTGCGCGAGACAGAAGGCCATGGGCGGCCCGCTGTGGTCACATGAAGACTGGACGTGGTTCGCCTCCGGGCTGAAGGGGAAGTCTGCCCCCAGAACATCACAGGCTCCTCCAAAGCCCCGAGACACAACCCAAGACAGCTCAGCTGGAAGGAAACCAAAGCTCCTGTTCAGACAAAATCTTCTCCAGCACCCCCGCCCCCTCTCCTCTGTGTCACACGCATTGACCGAGAGTCTGCCACGTTCAGGACATCATGCGAGGCTGTGCTAGCCGCCGCCACCCCCTCCCACCAGGGGAGGCTTTTACTATGTCAGCGTTCCACGACGACCTCAAAGAGTAAGTGTTTGGGCTGACCGCACAAAGTCATATATTTTTATGGATTTCGGAGAGGGAGAGAGAGAGAGAGAGAGAGAGAGAGAGACACGTTAATGATGAGAGAGAATCATTGATCGGCTGCCTCCTTCATGCCTCACTCTGGGGATGGAGCCCACCACCCTGGCATGTGCCCTGACTGGGAATCGAACCCGACCTCCTTGTTCGTAGGTTGTCGCTCAGCCACTGAGCCACGCCGGCTGGGGACACAGTTATTCTGAGTCATGTTTTTATACCTCCTCTGACCTCCTGGGGAGACCGCTCAGCCGGGCTCACGCACTCTGTTTAAATTCCGCGAGAAGAGCAGTGCTTCACTTCGGGCCTTGGGAGCTTCCCGAGAGAGCACCCAGGTTCCCACCCTGGCCCTCCGCATCAGCTCCTGAACGGCGGGGGAAGGAAATGAGCACCACCCAAGGTCGTGGCTGGGAGAGGAAGACGTCAAAGGAAACAGAGATGCAGGCTTGCCGTTACCTAGCTCTTCACTGCATGCGTGTGGGAGAGAACTGTCTGGCAGCGACGGGAAGTTAGATGGCACTGAGCTGAGGCGGAGCTGCATCGCACCCCTGGACGCTGGCCAGAATGGAAATGAATGACGAAGGGACAGCAGAGACTTCACTTTTGGGTTCCCTTCTTCCTTTATTTCCTTCAGTCCTCCCTCCCTCTCTTCCTCTCTCTCCCACGGGCCAAACGCGTCCTGCGACCTGTTCTTGGATGGCTTGCAAAGGAGGAACGGACTTACCATTTTTAAATGATTGAAAAGGAAACCAAAACTATATGACACTTTTTAGTGCCCATAAATAAAGCTTTATTGAAACACAGCCGCACCTACCCATTTACATGTTCTCGATGGCTACTTTTGTGCCGCCACAGCCGTGTTGCATAGCTGCCATTTGTATAGTTGCAACAGAGTCCGCATGGCCCACAAAGCCTAAAATATTTACTATCTGGCCCTCGACAGAGAGAGTTTGCTGACCTCTGCACAAAGTGAAAGAATAATTCTGCACAAATGCAGAAAAATGAGAGGGTCGCACGCTTCCTTCTTCAGTTGACCTAGTTAAATGGCCATGTGGCGCCCTTAGTTATCTTCTCTTCAGTTAACCCCTCGGAGTCAGAATCAACTCCACTCCCGTGGCCTTGGCAAGGCCACTTGCCCATCCTTCCCCTGCGGAGAGCGAGGCCCCGCCTGCCCACCACGTCCTCAGCTTCCAGAGAGAGCAGATCAGAACGTCCTTGGCCTCCATCTGTGTCCCAGTAAGAGCTTTCCTGGCCCTGAGTTGAGGGGCTGCTCCCTTCTGCACAAGCCTCTGGCTTGTTATGCTTTGGGGTCCACCCCAGAGACGTCAACCCCGGTCCAGGCGGGGAAGACGTGAGCACTGGGCGTGGGAGTCTGCAATGTGGCGTTTCTCTCCTCGTCTCCAGGAACAGACTTGAAGCTGCCAACCCCCCTGGGACCTGTGTATCCACCGTTCATCTTGAGTCCGAGCTCCAAAGCTGTGGGACGAAGCTGGCAACTGTCTCCTCCCTCGGCAAAGAACTTCCAAATACACGACGTAAGTCTCCCAAGGGCCCCTCTCCTCCCTATGGCCCTGCAGGCTGAGAGGTGAGACTGTGCCCCACACAGGGGCGAGCTGAGCAAACGAGGTGCCGATGGTTTCTCTTGACCGTTGACCTCGTCCCACCCCCATCACCTCCTGCCTCCACGTGAGGCCGGTGCAGAGAGAGAGATGAAGCCCTGAGCACAGGTCATACTGCGTTGTGGATCTCATCAGGGTTCCCCGAAAGAAGAAAAGTCCTCAACATCGGACAGTTTTCTGAGGCCCCGAATGGTCTCTTCCCCCACAGGTACCTCTGTTCTCCCTCAATTGCTGCTACATTTCCACTGAGTGAGGGGCGAGTCTTCACCCCCTGCCTTGCCTCCGGTTCACAGGCTCATTTTGTTTTGTGTGAAAGCTCGGTGGCAATCTAATCCTCTCTCCCTCCTGTCGTGCCATCCAGAAATGGCCTTCAATTGCTCCTCACGTGACAAACCTCTGCTGAGCACTTAGCACGAGACATGTCATCCATCCAAGTGGTAAAACGCAGGCTCTGTTTCTGAGGACCCCGGGTGCAGTTGGGACATAACTGGGTAGAGAGACCTCGCAGGAAGTCAGGTGGGGGACACAGACTCTCGGGGGAGATGGTGCGGAAGCCCAGAGGAGGAGCTAGCTCTGACTGGGGCCAGACACTTCCTTGGAAGCCAACATCAGAATTCTGAAAGGGGCGTAGGGGAGGCAGGAGAGGAACAGAGGGGGGCTGATCTGGCAGGAAAGGAGGTGCATGCAGGTTTTGGCTCCTCTGGAAAATGTCCTGGTGGTCATGATGGTGATGATGGCCTTCCTAACAGAGGCGCCATGACAGGTCGGGGAAGGAGCAGACAGAAGGGCCCAGAGGTGGAGGACTCTCTCATCTTTTACGGGATACAGCTCTGCTCTCAGTCGGCTCCAACCCTATCCAGAGTGATGGGGCTGGTCTGGCCCGTTAAGGCCCACTGGCACCTGTCTGTCCGTCCTCAAGGTGGACTCTGGGGCCACCTTCCTTGGAACAGAGTCACCCCCTGAAGCCACGCATGTGAATTTAAACTGGAGGCAAGAGAAGGTGACAGAGGCCGCGGGAAGTCCTCTCACCTGCTGGGTCTCACTGTTTCCGTTTGGGATGTGGGATGTTGACCTCTAATGTCCCTAGGGGCCTCCGATGTCAGCTCCTGTCCCCACTGCCTCCAGAGCTGCCCTCGCAGTGCCCGCCTGGGCAGTACTGGGAGAAAGAAACCAACACATTCGTTTCCTGCTGTGTGGGAGGCAGGAAATGGTCCAACCCCCTAATTGGGATGAGGTTCCTGCGGTGTGTCCAGCCGCCCACTCCTCAGCACACCCCCGCTCCCCAGGTGTCTCAGCGAGAAAGGCGGGTGCACCCGGCCATCGAAGCCAGGCTGCATCTACCACCACCACCTTGCCAACCATTACCCTGCCTCTGTGGGGCGTAAAAGAATCAATACATAGCCCTGGAAGGTCTGTTTAGTGGTTAGAGCATTGGCCCGAGGACCGAAGGTTTGAGGGTCCGGGTCCTAGTTAAGGGCATGTATCTTGTTTGTTAGTTCGTCCCCGGGGTCGGTCAGGGCATGTGCAGGAGGCAACCAGTTCATGTGTCTCACACATCGATGTTTCTCTCTCTCTCTCTCACCCTCCTCCCTCCCACTCGCTTTCTAAAGATCAATGGAGAAAATATCCTTGGGTGAGGATTGAAAAAAAAAAAAAGAATCAATACGTAGAGAGAGGCAGCATTTGCTGCGCCTCCTCTGCACCCAAGGGGGAGCCGAGCATGTCCGGGCACACTGTGTAGTGTCTCTCCAAGTGGAATGCAAATGGGGCTCCTTTGCTCCTCAGTTTCTAATAGAAGTGAGATTAGAATCCCAAGAGGGGACCCTACATCACACAATCACGCGTCGGAGCCTGCCTCTGGCCTTCAGCAGGGATGGCCGTCGGTTGATGGCATTCTTGGCAGCCAGGGTCCCACGCACCATGCCATTTCGAGGCTGGAAACGACCTCAGCCACCGAACCACCATAGAGGTGGGTGGTGAGTTGAGGTCCTACAGTGAGTGGCACAGTCAGAATAGAACTCGGTGCCCTGATCCCCAGTCTGCTGTGCAGACCCAGCAACTCATGGAGCAGACGGCCCTTTTCTCTACCTCCCAAGGCTGTAGACCATTCAGAAAGGCAAATGGCGGTCCGCCTAGTGCAGGAGAGGCGTGAAGAAGTGCCTGTTTTAAGCAGTACACCCTGACTTGTGGGAGCTGGTGGGACGCGCTCTCTGGGCTCCTCACCGCAGGTGCCCGTGGCCCGTCCCCCCCAGCAGGGCCCTTTCCGGGACCTCCTGGACATGAAGACGGAGAAGAGACTGGCCGGCTGGAAGGAGCGTCGCAGTCGCTACGGGGACATCAACATGCACAAATACTATCAGCTCGGGCAGGTCTTCACCCCTTTCCGGGCCCTCGCCACCATGGTAAGCTCGCTTTTCTTCTGGGAAGGGTTTCGAAGTCCTTTGGTGAGACCGGTGACAAATGTCAACTCTTTCCCCTTTTGTGGGATGGATGAGTCCGTTCCAGCCACGCAAATGCTGCACAACCAACCTCCCCCAAACTCAGCGGCTTGCCCTCCCAGGCATCTGTGCTTCTCACTCGCTCTTCTGCAGAGAAATAGCTCATCCGCTTCTGTTTACTGCGAGCTCCCAGGGTAGGAGGGAGCAGGGAATCGGGAACAATAACCTCATTGGCCACAAGAGGCTAACTCCAGCCACCCGAAGGTCGGTGGCCTGAGGTGGAGGGAGGTCTGAAGGCAGCTGTGATGTTCAGAAATACCCATTTCAAGGGGAGGAAAAAGTCTGAGGAAAGGAGAAGATTCTGTGATGGTGAAAGATGGTTCCGTTCCCATCCCTTTATCTCATCTGTTACCTTCTGGGCCCAAGTCAATTCAAGTGGGACCATTCCCAAAGGCATTTCCTTGGAAGTATTGTTCTAGCTGTGCATATGTTCTAGCTGTGCATATGTTCTAGCTGTGCATATGTTCTAGCTGTGCATATGTTCTACCTGTACATATGTTCTAGCTGTGCATATGTTCTAGCTGTACATGTACTCTAGCTGTACATATGTTCTAGCTGTGCATATGTTCTAGCTGTACATATGTTCTAGCTGTACATATGTTCTAGCTGTGCATATGTTCTAGCTGTACATATGTTCTAGCTGTACATATGTTCTAGCTGTGCATATGTTCTAGCTGTACATATGTTCTAGCTGTACATATGTTCTAGCTGTGCATATGTTCTAGCTGTACATGTACTCTAGCTGTACATATGTTCTAGCTGTGCATATGTTCTAGCTGTACATATGTTCAAGCTGTACATATGTTCTAGCTGTGCATATGTTCTAGCTGTACATGTACTCTAGCTGTACATATGTTCTAGCTGTGCATATGTTCTAGCTATACATGTACTCTAGCTGTACATATGTTCTAGCTGTACATATACTCTAGCTGTGCATATACTCTAGCTGTGCATCTGTTCTAGCTGTACATTCTTGGGATTCTAAAATCTGGGCGTGCAAATGAATCACTGGGGAAGCTTGGTCCCAACGTAGGGCCCCGGTTTGGAGGGTCTTGGCTGATGCCTTGGAATTTTCTTTTTTAACATAGTCTCTCGTCACCACCTTTATGGAACATGACTCAGTCAGTGCTTCCCAACCCTGTTCACGCCATCAGCACCCCGAAGTCTGAAGGGGGCCATTGTTCAGGCCGCCTGGAACCCACTCACAGCTCCAGTGCGCACAGGAACCCAGGCAGTTAATCTTCACCCCCACGCCAATCAGATCAGAAAACCTGGGGGCAGGTCCCAGGCATCAGCATGTTTTAAAGCCTCTTGATTTGATGACCAACCCGCCCAGTTTTGCCAGGACTGACTCTCACACTTCTCTCGGAATTTCCCATCTTTTGCCACTAAAAGTCCTGAGTCCCAGGAAAGCCCTCAGTTTTTGTTTTAAAACGGAGTCTCGAGTCCTTGGAATTTGTACAAACCAGACGGCGAGCCACTCTATCCAGGCATGATTTTAATGCCTAGCCAAGTTTCCAAGGACTGCTCTCTGAACATTCTAGAAATTAGCCCCAATTCCTCATGTCACAGTTGCTGCCCATCTATCCATTCACTAACCAGCATTCCTTAGGCGTGTACACAGCCCGGAGCTGAGAACTTTGGAGGACCCAGCAATGAAAATCTCAGTCCTACCCCCAAGGAGCTTCTAGCCTACTAGGGATACCGAGTCATGAGCCCAAACCATGCTGCAGACACAAGTATGATGCCACAGTAATAAGAACAGCTCCATAAGTGGATAGACCCAGAAGGAGACAAGGGGTCTCCAAATATGAGCTGCTTTCTGCTAAATCCACCCCCAAGGTCATGATGAAGAGCAAAGCCTGCACATAGGGACACCCTCTTGACTCACAGTGCCACCTGGGAAGAGCAGATTGGCCATGTATTGGGAGCAATCGTCCCCATGTATAGAGTTCTTACTATGTGCCAGGTATAGTGCTAAAGACTTCCCAGGCCTTGATTCTTGGGACCTCTACCCCATTAACATCATTTTATCAATGAGGAAGCAAAAGATGAGGCGTGTTAAGTAACTTGCCAGCCAGTGGCGGAGCCAGGATGAGCCTGCTGTGCTGGAACAGGTGCTCCCGACCTCCATGCGTTATCTCATTGCCGTTATTCTCTGCCTCGTAGGAGATGCGAAGGCTGGTATTTCCCCAACACCTGCCCATGAGTCTGCACATGCACAAAATGGGCATTTCGTGCACCGACGAAAGGACTCTCCGAGACTTACCTTTGTCTTCCACAGAGCTGGGCTTGGGAATGGATGACAACACCCATGAGAAAGAGAAACCAGCGAGCCATGTTAGAACACCTTTTTTCCCCCCAATAGTTAAAGCGGCAAGATTTAAAAACGTGAAAAAATAAAAATTACATAACTCCTTTCCGGCCCTTTGCTGCAAGGTTTTGCATTAAAACGCTTCAATCCCAGGGATTTGGGCATGCTAAAACATTCACACACCTGACAAGTGGGTAAGTTGAAGAGTTCCACCAGCATGCCTCTGTGTGGACATTTGGAGGAGGGTAGAACAATTAGGAGCTGTAATACTCACCTAGAATGGAGTCTTCAGTAAGTACATTTTTCTCAAAAGTCTAAAGGTAGGGGGAGGGGATGGTTACAGTTCAATAAGTCAAGGACCCCACTTTTTCCATCTTTCTGGTCTACCATCCCCAGAGTGTTGGATGATAACCTCAGGATTTGTTCCTCAAGGCCACAAAATGGTTGCCACTGTGCCAAACACCACATCCTCACATGTGAGTGTACACACACACACACACACACACACACACACACAGATGGAGAACCTCTTCCAAGAACCACTCAACAGATTTCTTGGCAGTGCTCCTTGGCCAGGATGGTAAGGCTTGCCCAGGCCATAACGCCAAAGGAAGCCGGGAAGGTAAATATTGGGTATTTACAGGGAGGCAAGTTCTAGCACCAGGAAAGGAAAGTAGGACAATGGCTGGTGGGAAAGTAATTCAGATCTGCCACAGTGGGACACTGGGTGGATGGTCGTGTGGTTTGCTAGACTAAGATTCTTCTTCCGGGCTGGGCTGGAGGCGTATATACCATCATCTCTATGCAAACCTCAACTCCAAGTTGCAAGACACAGACCTGGCAACAAACTACTGGAACTGGGCTCATGGAGAGCTTGCAAACAGCCTGCACTTTTATCATTTGTTTGACATCAGGTATTTTCAAACGAGGCTTGTTCTGTCTAGAAGCACACCTGGGTCTCAGACCTTCCATATCCTTAAGAAGCAAAACCAAACAGAACCCCCCCCCCACCCCCCGGTTTATTGTGCCTTGTTCCTGTTTCTTGCCGACTAGAACTAAATGTTGCCATACGCTCTGAAAATGCCCAGTGTTGGCATGTTGTTGTTTTTTAATTTAGTTTTATTTGGTCAGGGCACAGAGTCTTCAGCTAAGGAACCCTGTAATCTGTCCCTCATGAAGAACTGTATAATTGAGCAATTGCCGTAATCGCTGAGGGCTGCTGTGTGGACAGTAAGCTTTGGGGTATTTCCCAATATTTTTTCTGGAAATGCCAGGAAAGGGAAGGCTCGCGTGGAGTCTTGGGCCCCGGTGTCCTTCCTCCAGGAGTAATGAAGGTGAGGACAGGGGCCTCGGTAAGCCGAGTGGATCCTGCCCCCAGCTTGGCAGCATTTCCCAGGCTGATCTGGTGTTTTCAAATATATTTTTATTGATTTCAGAGAGGAAGGGAGAGGGAGAGAGAGATAGAAACACCAATGATGAGAGAAGCATTGATAGGTTGCCTCCTGTACGCCCCACACTGGGGATCGAGCCTGAAACCCGGGCCTGTGCCCTGACCGGAATCAAACCATGACCTCCTGGTTCATAGGTCAACGCTCAACCACCAAACCATGCCCGCTGGGCTGGAACTGGACATCTTGGGATCTATCTTCACACCCCGCTCTCTCCTTCCTTCTGTGTGTGTGTCCCACCCATTGCCCTACCTTCTAAGCTGCTTTCATATTAATTATGTCCGTCCTCTCCATCCGCCCTCCACGATTAGCTTAGCCTTCACTCGCTCTTCTCTATGTTTACAACAGCCTCAGAACCATCCTCCTGGTCAGAACGATTTTTCCGAAGCACAAACACGATTGTCTCTCCACACCTTGAATGGCTCCCCGTTGTCCCTGTAAGAGCCCAAGTCCTTAGCCGTCGCACAGGGCCCTGCTTCACCTGTAGCAGCCTCATCCCCTGTTCCTCCCATGCACCCTCTTCCAACTCCCCCGCCTCACATCCATGCTCTTCCCCTCTTCACCACCGGCTGTCCCGGATTCTTACACTCTTACCTCTGCATCCAGTATTCCCCCTGCTGTGGCCGTCCTTCCTCTCCTCACTTCCTGGGGGACTCCTACGTACCCCCAGGAGTCAACTGGAAAGGCACCTTCTCTGTGAAGCCAACCCCCCACCCCCCAGGCAGGGTTAGTGCCCTCTATTTGGCTCCACTGTTATAATGTTCATCGCAATGAGTTGTGGTTGTCTGTTGTCTGTCTCGAGGGCTCTGCTTCCCTGAAGAGCAGTAATTATATGCATTATTCACCACTGTATTCCCCCATGCCCAGTCAATGCCTGGCACTTAATGGCTACGCATTAAATGTCTGGCAAAGAAGTGGATGCGGGGATAAAACTGCATGGCAGCCAGGCCTTGGAAGATGGAGTGTGGTTTTGCACTAATGTGACAGCTGTTACTAAAGATGCTAACAAGGGAGCACAAGGTGACTCAGAGGTGAGTGTGCCTGTGACCCAGGGCAAGTGGGATGCTTGAAAGCTCCAAGAACCCAAAAGGATGCCGGCAGACTCCCCTGCCCTCGGCAGGACTTCCCTTAGGCAGCGCTGTGTGTGTTGTGTAATTGAGGCAGTTCTGCCCGCCTTGTAAATCACAGTGTGAGAACGGCCATGTTGCAGCAGGGAATGAACCGGGGAGGGCTTTGCTTGGGGACCTTCCCCTGCCAGGCTGGGCAGATCATTTCCCAGGTCTCGTTCTATCGTAACAGGAATATAGTGCACACCTACTGCGTGCTTGGCTTTTTGCTCTACGCTCATGAAATTTTATTTTAAGTATTTTATGTTCTCTCTCCACTCAGGAGGTTGCAGTCTCACTGGAAAAGCTGCTATATACACATGGACTTGTTAGAAGTCACAAGGCCATATGAGATCCAGGTTAGATTGTAAGAAATTAGCTGGGAGCCCTGGCTGGGTAGCTCAGTTGGTTAGACCGTTGTCATGATACACCAAGGTTGTGGGTTTGATGCCAGGTCAGGGCACATACAAGAATCAACCAATGAATGCATAAATAAGTGGAATAAAAAATTGATCTCTCTCTCTCTCTCTCTCTCTCTCTCTCTCTCTCTCTCCAATAAATACATTAAAAAAATAGCTGGGAGTAAAAAGGCACCTAGGGAATGGAAGGGAATGGATGGATGGATGGATGGATGGATAGATGGCTATGGATAGATGGGTGGGTGAATATGGATGGGTGGATAAATAGATGAATTGGATGGATGAACAGACAGAAAACTAAATATTCTCTCAACTTGTAATTGCTTTCATCTAATCAGACACGTGAAAAAAATTATAATGCTTCAAGGTGCCAATCTTTCAACACTCCAAGTAGCACAATGATTTAGCCCAACTTAAAACACTCACTATTACTTTAAGGCGTGATACCAATGAATGAGAGGTGAGAGTTTTTGGAAGGTCGCAGGTATCGGCATTTTTTGGCCCCCAGATGATACCTTCTTCGCCTGCATAAAGTGCTAGTCCTGGCAGGAAGCTCCTCCCAGCAACTCCTTACCACTTAGGACTGAAAATAAGAGGCAAACAGGAAACCGTGTTTATTTTTTGCCACTAGTCAGCCAAACTCCCACACCTGTGCTGTGCATTTCCTGTTGGGTGGTGTTGTTAAGTCCAGTGAGAGAATGACGCTCCCCTCCCCGCTTCGTCCCAGGGAGCTATCTAACTGTCACCCTGCTGGGTATGGAGTGTGTGAAAGGTTGGGGAGGGGAGGCTCAGCGAGGGGCAGGGGCAGGAAACAGTGTCCCACCCTCCACCCAGGACTCCTCAGGAGGGTCGTGTTGAAACTCTCCCTAACTCGAAGCCATGTAGCTCTTCAGCAATGGCCATGCTGGTAGGGACGAGGCAGCATGTGATGGAAAGCCCTAATAGAACGTGACTGAGTCACCGGGTGGACCTGATGGAAAGCCCTAATAGAACGTGACTGAGTCACCGGGTGGACCGAGCTGCTGCTGGAAATTGTTCTGTAGTGAAATGACTTGGAAGAAAACAATAGAGCCCTTAAGACCATGGGATGCGCTCCTTGTTTCTGAGCCTCGCTCACAGGCTGCTCACGTCCACCTTCCGAAGTTTATGCTGCCCATGAGTCCTCCCGTGAGTTTTCTTTATTCCACTGAGACTCCTCGAGAGAAGTGGAAGCGTGAGTACCTGTTCTAATTTAGACTGTTCTCTTAACTTCCTTTAAATTACTGTTATCATGGCCAGTCTTCCATGATGATGCACCTTGGGAGGCCAAGATGTCTCTGAGGTGCAGGCCCTTAATGAGGATCTTAGTCCAAGAGATGTAATTTGACGAGTCTGGCATTCACCAGCTCAGCTGGGCCTTGTCCCCGCTTGCCCTGAGCTCCCCTCGCCCCGTCGGAAGCACTCTGCTTGGTTCTTTTCCGTTTTCTCGTGGCCAGGGCACCTGACTGTGTCTGTCTGCTTGGATCTGCCTGTCTACTCTTCACGGAACAATCACATCACCATCGGACACTAACAGGCAGACTGGAGAAATGCCTGAGGGGAAGTCCCAGCGGAAGTATGTCACAGATCAGTATGTCGTAAAGGTTGGATAAGAAGTAGAGGAGTTTGCCTGGGAGTAAAGGGAAGTCGAGGTGAGATGGTTTAGTAACATTTAAAAACACAGAAGTAGGGAAGGGTGAGTGGAGGGCATAGTCTTCTCTCATTTATCCATCTCCTATTCTTACCACTCTCCTGTCCAGAGATTAAAATACACATAAATATTTGGGCCCTTGTGTTGGCTTCGGCAGCACATATACTAAATTGGAACGATACAGAGGAGAGAGATTTGCATGGCCCCTGCGTAAGGCTGTCCAGCAAATCCTGTGACGCGTTCCACATTTTGAAGAAAAAAAGAAAATATTTGGGCCCTAGCTGGTTTGGCTCAGTGGATAGAGAGTTGGCCTGTCAGTTGCAGGTTCAAGGGCACATGCCCAGGTTGCGGGCTCGA